CTGGTCAGTGCTGTGGTGGTGCCGATTGTGCACCCCTTGACTCTCAGTTTGTTTTGAACAAGTTGCTTTCTTATCCCAAGATATGTGCACTGGAGCGCCCCTTGGTGTTTGCCGGAGTCGCTTGACAAGATTTTACTACACATCGGGTTTTGCGCGTAAATGTATGTGTACGCATGTGCATAAAAATAGCATACAAAGTGTGCGTTTGCCCGAAATTACAATCATCTTAAACTGCGTCACTGGTCTCAGGTTTTCCTTGATCTCCAGTAGGAACAATGCTTTTGCAATCAGCCAAACAACACAAAACCTAATTGGAACCACATGTTAAACTATCTGAAACTTCTCACTACATTTTATCTTACATGTTTGGTACTATGTCGGCTGTCTGTTCATTACACACACACAAGCACATCTGGCATGCCAGCCAGCCAGTGATGGGTTTCAATTGACCAAGCCCATCAAACCGGTGTTTAGCAAACTGCGACACTTTGATTTCGCGTGTGGTGGCTGCATGTGTTTGTACAAAAATCTCTCAGCTGGCACACAGCTGTGAAAACTGAGTTGCACCGTGTGCGAAGAACCAGGTTGGGTTAAGTTCGATCAATCGATTGAAGAAAACCATTCGATGTATCCGATGCCTGTCGCACTCTCGATTGATTGTATTTAAATCACTCAGATAATTGAAACACTATCCGCATAACATTTATCCGTCGCGTTCTGAAATCGCAGGTTTCGAATACTAGAAAAATATGTATGTAGATCGTATTATCTAGTCTGTTTTGTCCGGGTGAAAGTTTCTGTGTGTAACTGAATCAAAATGACGGGGGTTGTGTTAGTTACTCTTGCCCTCTCAACTAGTCAGTGATTGATCATGCTTCAGTGAAACCAGTTGTATCAAAGTGACCAAATTTCGGTTTACTGTATGAGCTTACTCAACACCCCAACCCACCCCCCTTTGAGGGATAAAGTGAACTGTTTACATTCTGTCTAATATTCCCCTCCTGTCTGGGAATTGAATAGAAGTAGAATTCGTTAATTATTATGTTCCAATCGGTCGTACGGTTCGACGCTTTTGGTGTTCAACCAACCATTCACTGATTGATAGTGCTCTTGCAACAGATGAGTGTAATAGTTTGTCTCTCGTCTTCAATGCGAACCATTGATGCATTACCCNTTACCCACAACTCACACAATTTTCGTTTGACGGTGACATTATCTGTCCAATATTATGTGCAATTGGTGTCCGTTTGTGCTGATTTTATCCAAACGAATCGTCTCTGATGACACCCAATCAGTCATGATGCAGAGCTGTGATTGATTTCGTCAGTTTGCACCAACCCAAATCACTTTGATCTTTTCAGTTGTGCCAGAAATTTCCTCAAGGGAATCGTTGATCTATCTATATTTCACCATACCCAAATACCACCCACACATCTTGTTTATTGAGCTGACCTCACTTTGGTGAACGCGTATTATCGTCCGGCTTCATTAGTCTCGTTCGATCTATCCCGAGTACCCAAATGGAGCCCGAAAGATGATCAGTGTATTTCAAATGCGATGGAAATGTTTGTGATGACCGCCAAAGAGCATTGGACAACTGTTTCGTCCTGTTTGGGACTCGTCAGCAGTGCGTACTTTTTGTTTCCCTGTCAGGACTCGAAGCGCGAACATTCGGGTCAGGACTTCAAACCCTTACCCCTGAGCTACACGGGTGTACTACAGATCAGTATCTTTCTTTTGAAAACTCCTAGGATTATGTTTCAGAACTGAAAACAGTGATGTAATTCCTACTTAAAAAGCAGTACTACGCTTTCAGTGATAGATGAAACAGACTCTAGATGAAGAATCAATTCGTATGGTGCAACACATGAAAGAATAATCAATTCTAATTACAGCCATATCGCCTACTGTGAATAAGGTGCAGATGTCATTTATTGTTGGAAGGCTCCATTTACAACTGCTTGTTGGAGGAAATGTGCGCTGCGCTGCTCGAATAACGTGCCTCCAGCTCTTTACGGTTTGCATACTAATTATCCGAAATCCGTGATAGCCAACTTTTCGTGTATAGGTGACCTTTGATCCGTAGTGACTCCGTTCCTGAAAATTTGGCATGTTAATGTTGTATGTAATGTAGAAATAAATTTATTAATACTAGTAATATTAATAATAGTCGCAGTAGTAGTATTCAAGGCTCAGTTGGTCGAATTTCAGCTTTAACAGCTATTCCCAAGTAAACCTTTGATTAATATTTTAGTGTTCATCAAAACTAGAACAGTAAGAAGACAAATGGTGCGAGATGTTAACATTTCTCTTAACTTTCTCAGTCACTACGCCGTAAAACGACCTGGTGTTCATGCAAGAAAGTTGTGATAACTTCAGTTGTTTAACATACATCAGTCAGGGGAAGGGGCAGGATCATTTCCAGTGTCAGCGAAGCGATGTTAATCAAGTTACGTAATCCAATTTTCTGGCACAACCAGTCAAATTCCCTAGGGGGTTGATTCTGTTCCCCCTCCCCCCACCTAACTGTTGTCCGTTACATAACTGTAGTTATCAAAACTTTCCTGCATAAATACCAAATTGCTTTACGGCGTAGTGACTAGGGAAATTAGGCGAAATGTTAGCATCCCGCAGTATTTGCCTTCCTTTTTTTCTAACGAATCGAATAATGAGCAGAACCCTGCTTCTATGATAATTGAAGACTAACTGAACGACGAGAAAATCGTTTGATGGGTAGGTTTCCTGTTACAATCCTAAGTGTGATGAACAATGAAACAAACGGACTGCATAGTCATAAGGATTCACATTTTGTTTTATGGTG